AGTTTGCAATAAAACAACCACCCTGTGACCTGTGTATGTATATAGGCACATATTGTATTAAATACTGATATATAATTTATATATATATTTTTTTAAATGTGCCCGGAATCAATTATTATATGTACAAAACGTGGTCTCCGAACAAACCGCTACTATTTTAATTTATATTAGGTATATGAACTGCGCGTATTATATTCAATTTCCGCAAGCGTTAATTAATACCTCCAAATAATATCGTTTTCCCGTCGAAGTCTCTGCTGCACCGTTATCGCATTAATGTACTATATTACTATAATATAACCTATTTACTACACGGACTGATGTTCCTGTACAGATATTATTAAATATTGTATTGGGCGCAAACCAATTTTTTTTTTACTTTTTTGTACATGACACGGCGTTAATTGAGTTTTTAAAATACATATCTTATACCTGTGTATATATAATTGTTATATATAAAATAATGAAAAACATAAAATTGGTATCGAGAAGAAAGTACATTTTTACTATGTTTGTACATATGAATTTTTAATAATATACAGATATATACATAGTCTAATAGGTATAGATATTTTTAAAAACGTTAAAACATGCAGTCATTCATTATGTTCGAATAATATTAAAAACCGGAAACTATAGAAGCACCATCGTAATAACCGGTATTGAATGTATGGCAAATATGTTATAGTCACACTAATAAAATATTTGATAAGAAATTTTTTCAACATATCCGATCTTAAAAACAGTTGAAATCGAATGTAGTTAATAGTAAAAACGAAGATATTTTGAAGTAATATATAACTAAGAACATTATGGTAATATTTTTGGTGAAATTTTACTTTTACTTAAATAAAAACTAAACTTTTGTGGTAATTACTTTTGAGTTATGATAATTAACTTAAAACATTTCAAATAATCGATATAACCGATTGTAGAATTGCGTAATAATTTTAAATATTTTAATGGTATTTAACGTATTACTTAAAGTTAAAACACTATATGAATTAGGAATATGCCAATACTGTGCCTCATTTAACTTTATTCGGCTATTTAAATTTATCACTTAAATAAATGTCTTCTTTATATAATATAAAATCATTTAAAAATGTATTCATTTTTTATTCGTTAACATTTAATATTTTTTTAATTAATATTCTAATTTAATATAACTTATATTGTATGTTAAATCTTTAGTGTTACATAATATATGTTTATTTTTTATTTTGATACCAATAATGAAGTTATTCGAATGTTAAAAAACATTTTATTTAAGAATTTATTTTAACTAAACTTATAGTCTCTCTTTCTCTTTATTTGTATCTATATAGTCTTATATTATAACAATGTGTCGTTGGTATTCATTTTAGGTATCAATTACTCATCTAGAAATCATAACTTATTTCTTTACATGTTTCTGTTATATCCAGGCTCGCTACTACTTTTTACAATACTTTCTATTGTGTAATACATGTAATGCATAAGCCTGGGTACTGAAATGCATTTGCCCACGTCCATTTGTAACCATCCATTGTGCCGAATTTTATGTGATACTCTTAATCGATAAATACATTATGCACATATTGAACTACATTGTATGATGCTTGTACTTCTTGTAACTTTAAAATGTAGTTATCTATTTTAATTTTCGATAAATTTATTTTTAATGGTAGAAAAATAAAATACATTTTAAATATATTACTTTTTAGTTTATATTCAACCCTACAGTAATTATAACAGATTTTATATAATTACATTATAAAATTAGATGATAATAGATTCTAGTTCGTATAGTGCATGCATATGTAGAAGTAGGTAATTATTGCATTTACAATAAATTTGTATGGGCTGTTTCCAAACCATTGCCGTTTATGTGTAATTATTATTAACACTCTCGTTGACATTAATTAATCAAAAAATAACTGATGTCGGTGAGTCATTTGTGGCGTATTGCCCAGTCACAATTACAGTGGTAGACATCAAGTAAGCAAAAATACAATGGAAAAACATACACATTTTCTGTAGACAAAAAAAAAACAAATAGTACAAATTCTAAAAGTACCATTTTATCTCTTATTACAAATTTCTAATTTCCGTTTTGTTCAAAAATATTTGCACACGTCATCAGTTGCATTATTAAATCTTTAACTGCTTTACCAATATTTTTTATGCATTGTCTGTGTGGAAAAAACTTGTATGTTTGTATCTGTGACACCTTTTTCCAATATTATTTTACTGTTATTGCGATCTATATTCAAGTTTACGGTAATTGATGGTAAATAAATTTGCTTATTATTTCATTTTTCTTATATTCATTACTTTTTATATACAAATAAATCAATTGTATTTTAAATCTGAATAGATACATATTAGTATTATTTTCAGTAATTTTTAAATTACTGTTAAGAAACTGAACATAGATTATTGTGTTTATCATGTGTACTTTCAAGCGTTTTTATTCAGTACAAGTTATCTTGTAAAAGAAAATTAAATTATAAATAAACTATTAAATGTTTTGAGTCATCGAAATATATAGCACATTTGTTAATACCTTTTTTCTTCTTATTTTAAGGTGAACTGTGATCATATAGATAAAATGAACTATTTTATAGTTATTTTAATAATAAACAATAATAAATCTGAGCTAATTAAAATATATTTATCTTAACATTATTCCGTATTATAGATGCGATAGGTTTATGTTGGTTTTAAATCTTTAAAAAATAATAATTAGTTGTAATTAAATAATTTGAATAAATTTATAATCAAACGAATTTTGGTGAACCTGAATAAAAACATTTAAATCTATTATAACAAACATTTACCACTTTCAATTAACAACTTATATAGTATGTTAAATTATTGTTTAAAGTAATTTTTCGTTTTTTTTTTCATCCATATTCCTATACTACAAATGTGTCAATTAATTTTTAAGTTTAGTTATCCTTAGTATAATAATTTGTGTTACAAACCAACCAGCATCAATTTTTTTTTTTATAGCCACAAAAATACATAGAACCGTTTTTAAGTACGTTCTTAGAAGATATCAGATATTGAGCTAATATTTATGACTTGTCGCTCTTTATCTATAATCTATAAAAAACAAGGGATAAAAAGTGAAAATTATATGGTTTTTTTCTCATTACATTTTTGTATGTATTAAACTGTAGTTTACCGCCCTTCTTTTCTTTTTTTCTTTCTTTTTTTTTTTGAAGTATAGTCGTGGTGTGTCACACGTGTTTTGAATTTTATAATAGTCTGTACCGTACCTACATATAAGAGCCACAGATGTTATTGTAGACACGTGCCTAGACGATACAGGATATTGGTGTCGGTTCTATAACTTCCTGTAACCGTATATCTTTCTTATTCCTGGACCACCCTATTCTTACGGGATGTTCGTTGTGATTAGAAAAATAAAATGCGGGAATATTGTTTGTACCTAGCCACCTAAGTGTACATTGTTATCCCGGTTACTGTGATATTAATAAGTGTATCATTCCAATTTTAATTATACATTAATACTGTTTAAAATTCGTTGTATTTAAGTTTTTAAATTCCAATATAAAATAAAATGCATTATATGATATTTTTTATTGGTATTTTGTTAATTAAATGTTTTCAAAAAATTTAGATTTGTATGTACCTATGTATTATTATAGTATATATTAAAATAAATTCAAATATTTTTATGTTTCAAAGTTTGAAAAAAGACATTCATTTAGTATAAATTATTGTAACATATTAAGTTAAAACTTATAAGTACCTATTATAACTTATAACTAAACTTATTATTTATTAGTTATTACGTAGGTATTTTAAGAGTATATGATTATTAAAATCATTAGGTTATAAACTATTAGTTACGTTTAACAATAAGGTAGTTTTATATCATTTTATAATTAAATTATACAGAAATTATATACATTTAATTTCACTTTGTTAAAACTGCACGCTTTTACAATAAAATAGTTTTCAATATGAATGCTACGCGTGTTTTTTTACTTTATTTTTATACATGCACATGGAAGTGATTCTTTGTTGTATACTTATGATCTAATTAGTTATTTAAAATATACCTATGTAATGTAAGTGAAGTAGAACATTATAAGCATATCGAAATATACTTCAGTATTAACTTCCTATTCTGACCTTTTCGTTATATGTATAAAAATGTACAGTTGAATTTTCTTCAAGAATTTGTCGATGTAGTGTGCAAATTTACTTTGACCTTTTACAAACACTCTCCATTATTTCTATTTATTAACACTGTATATTAATGTGTGAATTACTTATGTATAATGTATGGTTGATCAGCCAAGACAACCTAGTTTTTATAATATATATATTATGCTTACATAATACATTAATTTATCAATGATCATTTTGATCGTATTTTTTTATTACTCGAAAACGTACTCATTTTCCCTTTTGAGGTTACCTAATTAATAACATTTGTTTTTTTTTTAATTTACGAAATATGAACGATTTACAACTACTTGTTTGAAGTAGGCATGTTAAAAAAACATCACGAATAAATCATTAAAATTAGGTTATAAAATGGTTTTATGTAGAATCGAACCTGGGAAATTCAGAAATTGAATTTTTTGCACACGCAATTCGTGTTTTTTTATTCATTTTTAACCTATTAAAATACGTATAGTGTTACTGTAATTATGTTTATTTATATGGTGACATAAAAACGTAGTTTAAAAATTGGCTTGACACAAATCTTTAGATACGTATTTTTTTTATCGCCCATTTAAACTATGACTGTGCGTTGTATTTGGGATATGTCTTATGAGTTATAACTTATAAGTTATAACTATAGAAACTTTCTGTAGCCCGGAACACATATATGAGGTGAATGAAATATTATGTTCTCGCTATCAACATGCATTATTGATTATTGTTCTATATTTTGTTGGGTTCATTGCACGCGTGTATTTATTTATTATTTTTTACTTATAATTTTTGTGACTTATTTTTGTTACTTTGAGCAGGATTACGAATTAGAACAAAAAATGGAATTCGAGATGAAAATGCGTGAAGGTACTACACGACTTCTTGCCGCCTGCAAACATCAAACTCAATCGCTGCAAGCCGCCAAGAGCTTGTTGACGTCTAATGAAAGAATGACCGCTTACATCGCTGAATTGCACCGGAAAAGCCGAGAACCCCCACAGTAAGTATTGATGAATTTTTTATTATTATAAAATCGGTGAGGTTACCGTATACAACCGAACGATATTTTATTGTTCTATAATTTATAGAATTGGATGGAACGGTGGCAAGGCTCGGGTGTCACTTTCGGACTTACGACTCCCGTTGATGTGGCGGGACACGGATCATTTCAAGAATAAAGGTGACTATCGGCGATTTGCGGTGTTCTGTTTGGCTAAAATCGGCACGCAACTTTACGATACTAGCCTCATGTTCCCGGTAGATAGATCCATGACCGACGTTACGTTTAACGATGTATTGCTCTTGTAAGTCCCGTGTTTTAAAGTCTCCTGAAAATGTCTAACTTTTTATTTATTTATTGCTGCAGTGAAAACGTTGGACCGGATTTCAAACTCGACTTAGAAGTATATGCTCACGTTCTGCGCGACGACTTTTCGATTGCTAGTACTCCAAGAAAAATTAAGAACACGTTGCACAGTTCCATAAGTCGCACGGTTGGTAAGAAGTTGGCTGCCACGTTGAGGGACGAATTAAATAGCGGTAAAATGTAAGCATCAAACATTTATAACGTCTTGCACGTTTTATTTTTAAATCGGTAATCTGTATAAAAGTAAATTATAACACATTTTCAGTGGACCTAATTTTGAACTAATGGCGTCAGCCAAGCTGACTTTAGAAGAAGTGGATGACAGAGTACATACACACGATATGAAAATCGAGAGCACTCGTAAGTAAAACAAAATAGTATAGTAAAGAGAGCTGAAAATATATATTATATTTTAATGATTAATAATGGTTTTATGTTTTTATGCCAGCAGAAAACCGTAATAACCAGTTACCTCTATTTGGCCATTTTTGTTGTCGGTTGGCTGCACAGCCCCAATGTGTATCATCTCCGGTATATTCAGGGCGTGTACGACCACGAGATGAATCATCTTACTCGTGGGCCAGCCTTCAAGCATTTGAATTATCGATATGGTCAACAGCAGAAGAAGCAAAATCTCAACCACCCCAAAAATCATTTCGCGTTGATAAGGTATAATATGTAAATCAATGTGATAGAATTAAAAATAATAATAAATCAAATAACTTCCATGATCAATTAACGAATAAAGCGTATACAAATAACTTTTATAATTTAAACTTGATATTTTTTATCAGATTTCCCATTATTAAAAGCAAGGTATTATGCTCAAATGACTTATTTGTGTTTTCACCGTTTTCGGTATTCAGATATACCAGAATAAAACATTTAACAAATATTTTAGAGCTTTTAACTGTTATATTTTGGGTGATACTGAAAACTTGATATTTCAGATTAAGACTTTATTTGAAATCTATATTTTTTTTTATTATTTCTTTATATCTAATGTATTATTTTAACTAAGAATTTTTCTTAAAATATTAATTACTTAATTATAATTATTGATTATTGATAGTTAGATAAAATGTTCTTTTAAATATTTACCTATCTAGACTAAAAACAGTTTATTTCATTTAAAATTTAAAATATATTCTATACCTAGCAATAATAATTATTAAAAAACAAACCATTTATATAAAAAAAAAAATTATTTAAAATATTTCTTTGCATTGAATAATTAAATATTTTCTTGAGTTAAATAGAAAAATCAATTTCAGTCCTAATATTACTGTAAATACATAAAATTAAAATCAGCAATAACTAAAAATTCTAAATTTTTGTCAGTATGGCCCATGTCATAATTAAGCGTACACATAAAAAAAGCAAAAATCATCATAAAAATTAAAAAAAAAGCAATTTGTCTAAAAAACTGAGTAAGGAAATAAGCAAAATGGAGCGTTTTCAAATTTTATATTTTAAATCATTGTAGCATGACATGAGTTTCCCTAGTATTCTGTTAGATTTTATGATAGGCAAAAAAATAAGCAAATGCTTGAAGTCCCAAACTCTGGTTATGAATTTTAGTTACTAGTTACTATGTACGCATAGTCCTGACTAAAGGATAATTTTATGTAAAAATAACTCTCATGTTACTGTAAAACAATTATTAAGTGAAATTAATCATATTTTGTCAAACTATAGTTAAAATGTAATCATTGTCCAATGTCTAAGGTAAATTTGTCTCTATTAATTATAAATTAATATATTTTAAATGATAGATATAATTCTTATAAACCTTAATCATTACTTCTTTTGCTCTACAATAAGTGACAAGTGTATACTAATTAACATTATAAATATTTTGTTTTATTTTATCTAGAATACAGTAATTCGAGCGTTAAAGACTAGTAATGAAATTGAAATATCTAACGAATCTGAAAAGCGAACAGTATCATTTATATTTTCAGTGGAAAACGGTGAAGAGAAGGGTAATTGGCTGAAATATTTAGTACAACATGCCAAAGAATATTACAAGTAAGGTGTAATCATTCAACAATGAGATAATTTTTAAATTTAATGCATTTCTTTTTTTTAGATGGAAAAAAGCAGCTGAAAATGTCATGGAAGTACAATTGTTAGAAACTAATAGGCATTCATTTGTTAAGCCAGAGCGACAAGGATCACTTTATGATGAAACTCCACTGTTAGGTAAATTTACTCAACAAATTTATATTAATATCCCTGATAATTGCTAATGCAAGTAATGAAATTTCTCAACTTGAGTAGTATAAATGTTTGAACTAATATTCATATCTTTACATTTTCATGTTATTTGCTATATATCTACTTATAATTAATTCAATTAAAAATATACTTAAGATATTAAATTTGTATTAAATATACTAAAACCCAAACCTTACATAGTGGAGTAATATGAAATTAAATTAAATGTTTGCTATTCTATAACTAAACATTTCATGTAAAGCATGATTTTATTAATTTTACTATTCAATCTTCTATGTTTAGAATCTTTTGACAAGAACAATCGTGATAAGAACAGGCCTAGTGTAATGGATATGTTTTCCAATGGAGGTCAAGTGTCTACTAGCAGTCTTAGCTCGTGTTCATCCACCAGTTCTATGTCTCATAATTTACGCTCAAACTCATCCTCATCATCAACATCAACTGTGAGCAGTAGTGGAACCCAAAAACGATTGCATTGGCCGTTTTCTAGAAAAACGTGATTGGCACACAAAGTTTCTATTTCTTCATTAAGATATACATACTGGAGTGGGCTACACCTTACTAAGATTCCTAGTTTTATACCCTTATTTACCATTTTTGTACCTGCTTAATGTTAAATTTTAAAAGAGCTTAATTCTAATAGTTTTATTATTCATTTTTATCTATTTTGTACCTATTCCCATGTGTACCATTTCATTTTATTTTTAAGCATATTATTATCATTTGAAGTATAGCCCTCTCTCATTCAAGTGTCTTTAAGACTTACAAAAAAAGTATTAAATTTAATTGTATAAAATGAATACTTATTTTTATTTTAGGATTATAAAATAAGAATTTTTTTTATTTATTATTGATTATTATCATTATTTAATAATATGACTATTGTTGTATTTCAAATGTGTCCAGTTGGCAATGTATCATCATAATATATCCCATTTTTTGTGCTAAGTTAATTCTAAAACTTTTATATTAAATTTAAATATATGTAATTTGAAAGAATTAATGTAATAATTATAATGATGAGTAATGAATAATGACTAAGTTTTTTTTTACTGATTGTTAAATTGTGTCTAGTATGTATAATTTAGTAGTCCATATTTGTTAAGGCTATACATTCTTATACCAAGTTTATGCATACAAGGATATTAAACATATATGTATATTTGCATAAAATTTCAGTGTATTATATCGAATATTACTCAATTAAAGTCAAAAATATGATGGGTGAAATGCTGAATGTCATTTCTAACAAAGAATGTTCCTATTTATAATAATAATATACATTATATATCCACAATTACAACATGATGTTTAAGTTAATACTTTTAAAGTTCTAGAGCCATTAGCAAATACAAATAAAATATAAACTATTAGAATACAAACACATAGTTATAGAAACTCATTTATGTGTATTGTTGTTTATCAAGTAATTATTTGATGATGTAAAGTGTACGACCGACTACTTACTAGAGTTACTAGGTGTTAGACAATGTATTTTGTAGTAATGCACGATGTTATAACAGTTGTGATTAACTTGAATTTATTAATCTCTTCAAATAATACAAAGTTTATTAATCACAATTAAATGATTGATGTATCAGAAGTATGAGAAGTTATATTTTGCCTACGTACAACGGTTCCATGGAATGAATATAAATCTATATTTACATTTATGACCATGAATATTGAATAGTATAATCTCAATGATGCTAAACTTATTATAATTCATTCAAAATATTATTTTATTTAATATTGTGTTTAATAAGTATTATTATATTTTTGTAACGTATTAGAAAAATATAATATATTAATGAAGTATTTATTTATTTATAAATTAAATCTTGTTTTATGCCTAAATAATAAAAGACCTGTTATTTATAAAAGTATAAGAAATAATGCAAATACATTAAGATACTAAAACATATTATTATGTATACGACTATAACTTACTATTTTTGTATAATATCAAAATTGAGGCTAATAATTATTATTAACTAGGTATACATTTTGATTTATAATAAAAAAGCTATAATGCGTCCATTTTTAATTTCAGCTAAAAGTTATAGCAATCAACTAACAAAATACAGATGTACTCTTTATAAAAGTGAGTACCTAGTATAATAAAATATATTATTGATAAGTATTGACTACTGGGTATATACTGTACGTCTGTAAATACTTTAAAAATTTTACCATGAGAAATAAAATAAAATAAATTATATCAGGCTTTATGGACTCATGGACATAAATTAGGTAAATAATTATCAAAGAGTTAACGTGAAATAGGTACATATTAAGTAAAATAAAAAAATGTTCTTGCTTTGCTCAAAAAACCATTGTTACAATATCATAATAGGTATTTTGTTCTCATACTATAAAATTATAAATTTAAATGACTTACGAGTTGAAAATTATATGTTGTTAAAATCTTATTTTAAACAAAAACATAATTTTAATCAAATAATATTTGTTTCATAATTCACAAAAAAAATGTTATTTTTTTATTTATTAAATTTAATAAAAAATCTGTATCAATGGCATGATAAGAATATTTTTTACAAGTAAAGATGATGTGAGAAAAAAAACAAGTTTAAGAAAAGAGCCACCCATTAATGATGCTTTCATTTATTATCACTTGATCTTTTAATTAGGTACATTGAAGAAGATCTCAGAACCACTTATACTTAAAACGTCCTAGGCAATTACTAAATATTCTAATGTATTTTAAATTTTTTATGAGCTGATTTTAATGAGAAACCTTATTTAAGGATTTAAATACTTTATTTATAGTTATTAGTTTTTGATCTGAATAGTGCATAATTTTATTTGCAAGAGGGGCATTTGTTAATTTACTGAGGATAATATTTTGGAATGTTTGACTTTTTCGTATTCCTTATAAAATATTTAGATTTATTTCAATTAATTTAAAGGAAGTACGTGGAGTTATTAAATTTGTTAAATTAAAACGTTCCTGATAAGTTTTTCAATTAAAAATATGACAAAACATGTGCACAGACCACGTTCTATAATTGCATAGTATTATTATTTTTTTTAATAGTTGAGATCATGAACATAATAAGATTATAATATAAATGAAACTAGTCGAATACTATTTAAATCAAGGCTATTGTTGTGTTGGCATCTAGTCTATAAAGCACAAAATAGATAAAATAAAATAATTTAATCTATAATGTAGTTTTAGATTTTTAGATTCGCTAAAAGTTACGACTTATTAATGACTTTTAATAAATACGGGTAATGAATGTATTGCCTATGTCAATGATATTATCTACTTTTAATAATTTCTTAGTGCCTACTTACTTAACATAAATTAGATATTAATGACAATAATAATAATATTTACAACACGGATTAAGGTGCAATATATCATAGTAGATATGTGATTATTCTATATTACCATATTATACTGATTACTGATCAACAACTATGAACTATATTGAATTGAATCCAAAATCACAGAATAGATACAACTTTAGCTCTATGAAACTACTACAAAGTACAAAGTAAAAGGTTTGTTGATCACATAATTCGATACGCAATAATTATAGATAAAATAAGTGCATATTGCATAATATAATCACAGACTATATGATATTTATTATATCATGTTAATAAGCACAATGAAGTTCTTAGACTGTATCTAATACTGCGTTAATAGGTACTTATTAATGTATTATTTTTATGTTATGTCTGTGAAAGTATGAAGTATGATACTATGGAGTTTGAAATTCGAGTCGACAGACACTACAGTTGAATTCAATGTAAGAACCTTGAAAATAAAAGTTAAATAAGTTAATTTTTTTTATTTTGAATTTTAGTGATACAGCCTTAACGTTAACATAGTCCATAGAGTATCTATTACTATGTGAACCTTAATTTTGAAAGCAAAGATTCATAATTGATAAGTTTTGATAATCATATTGTATGATAATGTGTTACGTTATCAATATTTAAAACTTGGTCATACTGCACCTTTCAAAACTCAAAAAAACTGACAACTGAAGTTTTTTATTAATTAGATATTTACTATTTAGTATTTACTATATTTTATTTTTTAGTATTATTTACAATTTTCTTAACTAGTTTACTGAAGTTATAATTATCATTTGTAAGTCGTCAATCTATAGCTTTCTTTTTAAGTATGGAAATAAGCGATCCATATTTAAAGTACAAATTTATTGTGAAGAAATGGGAAAATGAGTTTATCAAGACTAACAGTCGCAATCCCAGAAAGGTAATTAAAATAATTTTAAAGTAAAAATTTGTAGAAATTAAAAAAAAATATCCTTTCATTTTAGGAGGATATAAAGTTAGCTGAACAAAAAGTGCGATATGCCTACAAAATGTACTGGCAAATGAAAACTTCTCTACTTGAAAAAACTCTAATTGGTGGATTAGACGATGCAAATGATTCTACAATTGATGAAACATTATTTCTCAGCAATATTAATGACCAGACACTAGCAAATAAACCATTAAATGATGAACCACCTGTTGATATTAATAAGCCATCAGTTTGGGGTGAACATTTGAGTAATAAGCCTAAGTCTGAAAAACCAACTAAAGTTAAGCAAATTGAAAATAGCATTTCTGTAAAATTTTCAAAGAAATTATTTGATGGTTGTAATTTTAAGAAAAGAAATCCTCGAAAAAGTATTGTAAAAAAGAAAACTAGTGAACTTGATTGTTCTCAAAATGCTCCCGACAATATAACCAACATCACCTCTAATGATTCTAACACACAAGAGGATAGTGCATTTCATGAAGATTCTAATTTATCTGTTATTGCTGCAGATTCTAATACATTAATAAACAGTACAATTCAAGTTTCTAATATCTCTAGTTATACTCCTCAGCCTCTAAGTTTACTACAAAAATCAACAATTAGTTTTAAGGCCTCCCCTAAAATGATGACAGTAAATAGAAAATTAGATGAAGGTTGGTTGGAAAGATGTAATGAAAATAATTCTAAAATAACTAATTCAATCATTAATCAATCTGATTTTAAACAAACAAAAGAAATTGAAAGTGATACAGATATTGTTTATGAAAGTGATAATGAAACACAAGATATTCCATTATATTCATCTCAAAGAATTAAGGCTCAAGAATTCAGTGATAGTCAAAATAGTATTGATCAGGAAACTAAACTAGAGGATAATGACATTTCAAGAAGTTCAAAAAAACGTTATAATTCTGATGAAGAATTTGAAGAATGTACAGTACAATCAAAAATATCAAAAACTCATGATTATGACAATGTTAAGTTATCAATTAAAGACAATAAAAAAAAAACAATGTTAGAAGCAAAAATATCTAATGGTAAAGCTAGTGAAAACTTTGTAAAATTAGATATGAAAAGAAAAATTTATAGTCGTGGTAAACGATCGGTTAAAACTACTACTTATAAAAAAAAACAGTGGAAAAATAGAAAGAAGGAACTTGGTGGAGATTTTTCAGCCACAGATCGAACAACATTATTAAAGTGTTTTAAATGTGGAGATATTGGGCATTATTCTAAGAATTGTATTAAAAGTAAGACTTGATAATTATTTAAAAGCATTTTTATTAAAAGATTAATAATAATTACTTATTATTATTGTTATTTTTATTTTTTTATAGGCAATGAATTAATTCCTTTGGAAGAAATTGGTGAAGAGGACAGTCCATATCTTACACTTGAAGAAGCTGAACAATTAGCTCGTGAAAAAAAAGAAAGAGCTCATTGTAAGAAATGGACTCGGGAATCAA